CCAGCTCACCTCCAGGCCAGCTCACCTCCCCAGTCAGTCCCCTTCACCGTGATCTTTAATTCCTTCTAATCTATTCTCCACTCTGCACCAGAGAGATCTTTCCCACTTGTAAACTTAATCCGGTCCTCCTGCTTAAAACCTGGCAGTGGCTGGTAGTTTCCTGCAGGAAAAAAATAGGACTCATCCATCAGGCTGACTTTGTCGATCCATTGCAAACATAGAAAACGCTGCTTCCCTTGATGATACTGACCTTACTTTATAACATGGGATGAGCTGCTACCCAAGGTATTACTGTAGAAGAAAACAGATTCTTCCTCGAAGTCACTCACCCTAAATTCTTTCTGACCAGAACTGTTTGCCATGACTGGCTCACGGCTTTAATGAAAAGATGTCGTACAGAAGAAAGCGGAGAACGAGTAAAGGCTGTTAACCTCTATTAAAGGAATAGAGTAACAAGAGATTGAATTAGTAATCAAAAAACTTCCTACGGAGTAAAGCCTAGGCTTAGATGGTTTACTGGCGGATCCTACCAAATGTTTAAAGAAGAATTAGCGCCAATCCTTCATACACTCTCCCAAAAAACAGGAGAGGAGGGAGCATTTCACAGTTCACTCTATGCTACCAGTATCACCTTGATATTCAGACAAAGGCATCACAAGAAAAATAAACCAATATCCTTTATGAATATAAATGTAAAAATCTTCAACAAAACATTAGCATACCACACCCAGCAACATATAAAAAGAATTACGTACCGTGACCAAGTGGGATCTATCCCAGGAATGCAAGAATGTTGGTTTAGCATGAAAATCAATTAATGTTATAAACCATATTCAAAAAATAAAGCACAAAATACATGATTATCTTAGTAGACGAAATAATAAAATTTAACACTCGTTCATGATAAAAATACTCAAAAACACTAGCAAAGGTAAGCTGGCTTTGATAAAGGCCATTTATGAAAAAATCCACAGCCAGCATGGTACTTACTAGAGAAAGATGGAAAGCTTTCACCCGAAGACAAAGACCGCTGCTCCTGTCACCTCTATTCAACACTGTATTGGAGGTTCTAGCCAATGCAATTAGGCAACAACAACAACAAAATAATAAAAGGCATCCAGACTGGAAAGAAAGAAGGAAAACTATCCTATTTATAGATGGCATGATCTTAAATATATAGAAAACCCTAAAGATTCTATAAAAATTATTGGAGCTGAAAAATGAGTCTAGCAAGGTGATAGGATGAAAGATCAATACACAAAGTTCAGTTGTATTATCTATTTACTAGCATATAACAATTTAAAATCAATTTTTAATCAGTTAAAAATGATTTTACTATGATAGCATAAAAAAGAATAAATATTTAGGAATATATTTGGCAAAAAGAATGTAGGTCTTGCACACTGAAAACTACAAAACACTTTTTATTTTTTTATTTTTTTATTTTAAATATATTTTATTGATTTTGTACAGAGAGGAAGGGAGAGAGATAGAGAGTTAGAAACATCGATGAGAGAGAGTCATCGATCAGCTGCCTCTTGCACACCCCCTACTGGGGATATGCCCGCAACCAAGGTACATGCCCTTGACCGGAATCGAACCCGGGTCCCTTCAGTCCCCAAGCCGACGCTCTATCCATTGAGCTAAACCGGTTTCGGCCTACAAAACACTTTTTAAAGAAATGAAAGAAGACATCCCATGTTCATGGATTGGAAAAAGTAATATTGTTTAGATAGCAACCTCTCCAAATTGATCTACAGATTTACCATAATTCTTATCAAATTCCCAGCAAGCTTATTTTTGCAGTAATTGACCTTTTGATTCTAATGGAAATGTAAGCCAATACAATCTTTAAACACACACACACACACACACACACACACACACACACACACACAAAAAAAAAAAAAAAAAAAAAAAAGTTGAAGGACTCACACTTCCCAATCTCAAAATTTACTACAAAGCTAAGTAATAAAGACAGTGTGGTATTAGCATAAGGACAGACATTTAGACCAATGAAGTAAAATTGAGAGTCCAGATATAAACTCTTACATTCATGTTTAATTGATGTTAACAAAGATGTCAAAACAAAAAACAAAACAAAAAATAACACTACCTTGATTAGGCAATGGTTTCTTAAATACAGCACCAAAAGCACAAAAGCAATAACTGAAAAAATAGATAAACTGAACTTAATCTAAATTTAAAAATTTTGTGTTTCAAAGGATACCAATAAATTTTAACAAAAGGAATGTTAGTCTTATACACTGAAAAACAACCCACAGAATGAAAGAAAATATTTTTAAAAACATATATCTATAAACATATATCCAGATTCTATAAAGAACTATTACAACACAATAATAGAAAAACAGATTACCCAATTAGAAAATAGGAACAAGTCCTAGCTGGTTTGGCTCAGTGGGTAGAGTGTCAGCCAGGTTCAATTCTGGTCAAGGACACATGCCTGAGTTGCAGGCTTTATCCCCAGTTTGGGGGGTGGGAGGGCATGTAGGAGGCAGCTGATCAATAATTCTCTCTCATCATTGATATTTCTCTCTCTCTCTCTCCCTCTCCCTTCTTCTCTCTGAAATAAATTTTTAAAAAATATTTTTTAAAAAGGGCACAAGATCTGAATAGACCTTTATCCAAAGAAGATAGAGGAATGGCCAATAAGCACACGAAAAACTGTTCAACATCATTAATCATTAAGAAAACACAAATAAAAACCACAAAGAGATAGCACTTCACAAGCACTAGATTAACTGTAATCAAAAGAATAGATCACAAAGTGTTGACAAGGATGTAGAGAAGCTATAACCTTCAAAGTAGTACTTTGGAAAACAAGTTGGAGTCCCTCAAAAAGTTAAACACAGAGTTATCACATGACCCAATAATTCCACTCCTAAGTATATATCCAAGAGAAATGAAAACATATATCAACTTCAAATTTTGTACACAAATGTTAATAGCAGCATTAATGATAATAACCAAAAAGTGGAAACCACCTCATGTCTGTCAACTGATCTATGCATGCATGTGTTAATAAAATGTACACAATGTGGTATATCCACACGATGGAATACTATTCAGCAATAAAAAAGAATGATACCAGCTGTAACATGTGAGAAACCTATAAATATTATGCTAAGTGATAGAAGCCAGACAAAATCTCTCTCTCTCTCTCTCTCTCTCTCTCTCTCTCTCTCTCTATATATATATATATATATATATATATATATATATATATATATATATATATAAAAGCCTAAGTGACCATTTGACCATTCAACCAGTAACTATGACACATACTGACCACCAGGGGGCAGACACTCAACTTATAGGCATGGAAACTTGGAACAGACTGATGAATCTCAGAGAGAAGGGGGAGGAGCGAGGGCAGGAAGAGATTAACCAAAGATCTTATATACACACTAGAGGCCCAGTGCACAGGTTCATGCAACAATGGGGTCCCTTGGCCTAGCCTGTGGGGATTAGGCCAAAACCGCCATGGTGCACAGATTCATGCACTGGTGGGGTCCCATGGCCTGGCCTGCAGGGATTTGGCTGAAACCAGCAATCCAACATCCCTTGAGGGGTCCCGGATTGCGAGAAGGTACAGGCCAGGCAGAGGGACCCCACCAGAGCACAAATCCATGCACCGGGCCACTAGTATCACATATTATATGATTCCATCTATATAACATGTCTGGAACAGGCAAATCTACAGAGACAGAAAGTAGATTAGTGATTGACGAGGGCTGGGGAGCATTAATCGGGTAATGGGAAGTGACTGTTACTGACTACAGGGTTCTTTCTGGGGTGATGAAGACGCTCTAGAATTAAACTCTAGATATAATAAAAATCACTGGACTGTACACTGTGAAATGTTCTCTCTTATGATATGTAAACGGCATCTCAATAAAGCTGCTTTAAAAAAGTTATGGAGCCGAAACCGGTTTGGCTCAATGGGTAGAGCGTCGGCTTGGGGACTGAAGGGTCCCGGGTTCGATTCCGGTCAAGGGCATGTACCTTGGTTGTGGGCACATCCCCAGTAAGGGGTGTGTGCAAGAGGCAGCTGATCGATGACTCTCTCTCATCGATGTTTCTAACTCTCTACCTCTCTCCCTTCCTCTCTGTACAAAATCAATAAAATACTTTAAAAAAATAAAAAATAAAAAATAAAAAAGTTATGGAGCATATTGGTAATATGAAAAACTGAAACAACACAGATGTTCCACAGGCGACTGGTTCAAAATACCCGTAAAGCAACCTGCTGTGCAGCAATTAAAAAGTGTTTTCAAGCCCTAGCAGGTGTGACTCTGTTACAAAGTGTTGGCCCACAGACCAAAGGGTCCCGGGTTTGATTACTGTCAAGGGCAGTACCTCAGCTGCAGGCTCCTCCCCAGCCCAAGCCCCAGGGCCTATGCAGGAGGCAATCAATTGATGTGTTTCTCTCACATCGATCCTCTGTCTTTCTCTCTCTCTTCCACTCTCTCTAAAAATCAATGGATTTTTAAAAAAGAGATACCAAAAAGTTTTTCAAAAATATTTAATGTCATGGAAAACAATTATACACATATATACACAGAGTGAAAAAGTAGACTATAAAACAATATGTACAGAATAATCCTAACTGTGCATAAAATTTGAAAACGTGGTCAGCCATATAATGAGAATAACTGGCCATATAATGAGAATCTCTATAAATATCCTGCAGCATCTTCATCACCAAGAAAAGTTCCCCGAGTGCGTTGCCTGTTAATTATCAGAAAACTTGACTGAGGTGTCTGTCTCTCCTCCCCTCAGCGGTGGCCTCGTGCTGCTGGGCCGCACGTTACCCAGTGCCCGCCGTGGGCCAGCCCGGTGCCCTGCTGGGAGCCCATCACCAGCCAAGGGCCCAGGGGTCCAGCCGCAGGCTCCAGGGAGGCTCTGCTGGATCCAAACAGCAGGGCCCTGGGGGACCCCCTCCCTCCCTGGGCAGACGGCGCAGCCCTTACCTTTGGTGGCGTAGGCTTCCGCCAGCACCCGCAGCCTGTAGGGCGGGACGGCCGTCAGCGGCAGGTCGTCGAGGCCCACCCGCGCGTAGATGTTGAGCGCTTCCTTGTAATCTCCTTCCACGTAGTTCAGCTTGGCCATGATCAGGTTGGATTCTTGCAGCAGCTCTGACTGGAAGGAAAAGGAGAGCAAAGCACGTTTTCCTGCCGTGTTATGAGGGATGCTGCCTGGGGACCCATCTGCTACCGCAAAGCTGGGGCTCCCCACACGGAAACGGGGTGCGCACGGTCACAGCGAGATTGCTCTGCGGTAGCCCAACGGGGAAACAGCCCAAGCGTCCATCAACCGAGGATGGATAAACAAACGTGGTGGAGCCACACGCGGAGTGTGACTCAGCCATGACGAGGAGGGAGTAACACCCAGCCTCAGCACAGACGAACCTCGAAACATTATGCGAAGGAAGAAAAGCCGGTTTGAAAGGCTCCCGGATGCACAGGACATGGCCAGGATGGTGGAAGCTGTAGGCAGAATGTAGGCCAGTGTTTGCCTAGGGCTGGGACGGTGGGAACGGGAGGAGCCTGTTAATGGGGAGGGGTATTTCGTGGGGTGATGAAAAGGTTGCAAAATTCAGGTGCAGGGTGCACAGCTCTGTGAATGGTCCCCAAACCACCGAGTTGTACACTTTAAATGGGTCGATGATGGCAGGTGAGTTATATTTCAATGAAGCCATTGCAAAACGAAACAGAAACCCTGAGGTTCCCCTAAGGCAGTGGTCGGCAAACTCATCAGTCAACAGAGTGGCAAACTGCATGTGGCTCACAGTTTGTCGACCACTTCCCTAAGGCTGGAATGGGGCAAAAATAGAATACTTTATGAACAAAACATATAAGCACCCATCTCAAAAAAGGAAGCTCCCGCCGAAACCGGTAGAGCGAAGGTCTGCGGACTGAAAGGTCCCGGGTTCGATTCCGGGTCAAGGGCATATACATTGGTTGCGGGCACATCCCCAGGAGGGGGCGTGCAGGAGGCAGCTGGTCAGTGTTTCTCTCTCATCGATGTTTCTAGCTCTCTATCCCTCTCCTTTCCTCTCTGTAAAAAAAAAATCAATAAAATATTTTTTTTTTTAAAAAGGAAGCTCCCACGGGCTTCCCGGGGGTCCTGTTCACTGCACTGGGCAGAACCTAAACGACCGGAGGAGAGAGGCTTTTGAAATCGGTGCAAAAATCAGCACCTGCTCTTTCCGATGACTTTCCTCACCGAGCCATTCCATCCGGCTGCGGTCACTGCCCCTGGCCCTCTCCCAGCCAGGGGCCCCCATGGGCTCTCCTGCCCATCTAGGCAGGAGTGTCGGCTTCCCCAGGCCACGCCCACCGGCTCAGACTGCGGGCTCCCCTGCCCCCTCCCGGCAGAGAAAGAAGAGGCTCCCTAGCATCTATATAAGGAGACAGATCTATCTCCCAGGCCTTCCCTCGGAGGCTAAGCTATACAAGGCTGGGTTTTCCCGCTTCCAGAAGCACGGGTTCTGTGATTTAAAGCTGAGTCAGGGTGGAGGCTCAGGGAAGCGGCCAGGGCATGGCGAAGCGGCTGTGCCAGCCACGGTGGCCGCTCCCAGGCTCTTGTGGGAAGGGAGCAGAGAGGACAGCCTGCTCTGGAGAGGATGGAGGGAGGGGCAGGGCAAAGGAAGGTGAGCCGGAAGGGGATCCAAAGGAAGCCGGAGAGGGAGGGCCGGAGAGGGAGGGCTGGAGAGGGAGGGCCGGAGAGGGAGGGCTGGAGAGGGAGGGCCAGAGAGGGAGGGCTGGAGAGGGAGGGCCGGAGAGGGAGGGCTGGAGAGGGAGGCGGAGAGCTGAGTCCACACAGAACGGAGAACGGGCAGATGAATAGCAGGGCAGTGAGGTGAGCAGGGCTTCCTGTGCGGGGAAGAGGGGGGGTTGGGGTCCGGTTGGGCCTGGTTCCCTTCTGCACCCCATACCGGGCCTGCCCTCCCCAGTAGAAAACCCCACGCCGCTCTGGGCACAGCGGCCTGGGGCATTCATGGACCACATATTTCAGGCAGGAAAGTGGGTAATAAGGTGACTAGACGTCCCGCTTTTGGCGGGACAGTCCCGATTTTTAACAATTTGTCCCGCGTCCCGTGGCGTTTTTAAAAAAAAGTTTTTAAAAAAGATGTTTTTAAAACACCCGGGATGCGGGACAAATTGTTAAGAATCGGGACTGTCCCGCCAAAAGCGGGACGTCTGGTCACCTTGTAATCAGGGGCACTTCTGATCAGCCTGTTTCCTGCAGTGGAACGGCGTGTCAGGCTGAGCTCTGGGTCACCTATGACAGCTTACTCCAGGCACCTGGGGAAGATCAGTGCCATTCTTCCTGACAGTGTCTCCCTGAAGGCTCGCATTAGAGACTCCAGAAACCCCCCACGGGGTCGCCACCCGGGGGGTCGACCCAGGGACCACACAGGAGCCTGCAGGCAGGTGCTCCAACCCCGCCCGGGTGGCTGCGGGCGACGTCCCGGCCACGCAGCTCAGAGCGGGGCGCCGGCACCTCCCTGCGGCCTCCCCACGCCCCGGAGGCCCAGGGTACCTTGAGGTTCCCGCGGTCCAGGGCGGCGGTCAGGTGCTTGCGGACCTCGGTCAGCTGGGGCCAGGGGCCGCGGGGGCTGGCCCCCTGCCGCAGGGAGTGCTCCTTCAGGTACTGCTCCAGCTTTGACTCCCCAAGGAGGAGCTCCGCCATGTCATCTGCCGAGGACAAAACGGGAGGCTGAGTTGGGGCCAGGAGTGATCTGTGTGCTGGGAGCCCCCCCGGGCCTCAGGACCCCCTTGCTCCACGCTCCCAACGAGGTTCCACCTGGAACTTCATAACCTCAGACGGGGTCCAAGAGGCACCATCTCAGGGTGCAGTCCGGTGGGCAGTAAAGAAGGTTCCGGTGTACACACTGAACCCAGTGGGGAGAGGGGGACGACACAGGGGGGCACTCAAGCACTGTCCTCTTTTGTCAGGAAATTGCGGAATCTAGAAAGACGGACACAGTGACACGAGAGAGCTCTGGTTCAGTAGGAAAACATAAAGCCGTCTTGTGATTCATTCGGTCTGGTCTTTACAACACACACACCGGACCCAACCCAGGCCTTTCCTGAGAGCCATGCCGTGGAACTCCCAGCCCTGCCGTGTTCTATGGCCAAGTACACGGATACGAGCCGGGAGAATGTCTCGTACAGTCAGATTCTTCCAACGAGCTTGTGCCAACACAACATGAATGCAGGCAGTCTGTTTTTTGTGTAAAAGTCAAAACTATACAAACAGCCCGGGCCGGTGTTGTTCAGTGGCTGAGCTTCGAACTACGAACCAGGAGGTCCCGGTTTGATTCCCTGTCAGGGCGCATGTCCGGGCTGCGGGCTTGATCCGCAGTGTGGGGCGTGCAGGAGGCAGCCGATCAATGATTCTCTCTCATCATTGGTGTTTTTGTCTTTCCCTCTCCTTTCCTCTCTGAAATCAATAAAAATATGCTCATTCCAACGCGGCTCTCTGGGACCCTCACATCCACGCTGCTGTGGACAAACCCAAGCAATCGGTACCCCAGCCTGAGCCCGGGCTCTTTCCTCTGTGGTGGGACAGAACCTGACGGTGTTCAAACAGAAAAGCAGCTTTTAAAAGTCTGGAGGGATGAACCTCACAGCCACGCTAATAGTTACCACTGGGGTGCAGAAAAAAGAACCCCAACTGGAGTGAGTGGCCAAAAGGGACTCTGGCTTTAGCATGCCAGCCCTGGAGGAACCACCACAGGCAGGCCTGTGCAATCGGAGTTAACTGAGGCCAAGAGCTGGACCGGGAGCCTTCCCAAGCCCTCCGCCCAGTGACCCGGAGCTGCCAGGCCTCCCGTCCCAGCAGCGCCTCTGCCTGAGTCCTGAGCAGCCAGCAAGGACCTGCAGGGCCCTGGGAGGAGCTGAGCAACACCAGAACGGGCTGAGTTAACGCGGAGACCTGAACTCAAAGGTTTCTTTAGTTGTCCGAAAAGAAAAAGGAAATCGCGAGGACATCAGGCAGGACCACAGCGAGGTCGCCCACCAGCAAACCATAGAGCTACGCCCGCAGGGGGCTCGGGGACGCCAGGGTCACCCAGGGGAGGGACCAGCCGCAGCGCCAGTCGGGGTCGAAGGTAACTAGCAGCTTCCTCCCAGAACGGAAATCTGGTGAAAAAGGAAATCTAGGGCCCGGGAGGCAGGGGGGGGTGGGGGGGGGTTAGGCAAAGGCCTGCTGCTGAGTGCCAGGGCATTCACATGCCGGTATGAAAGGCGTACAAGACGCACTGCTACAGCGGGATCTGACTGCTGTACACCAACACAGTGCACACGTGACAGGTGTGTGTTTCACGGTGGAAAAGGTGGGGAAGGCATTCCGGCAGGAGGAACAGAATGTGCAAAGGCGTGGCACAGCCTGGTTGTTTGGGGGAACTCGTATGTGATGGGTGAGAGCTGAAGCATCCAGGGCAGGGAGAGGAAGAGGGCAGTGGTCGTGGGAGTTTTCCCGCCAGGTAGGCGAGAATCGGTTCCTTCATTCTGGAAGGAGCCACACGCTCCGGGCGAAGAGCTTACAGTCTAAGCTGAAATTCAGCTTGGCCGCTACAAAAATCATTTTTGGACTTTTTTTTTTTTTAATTCACAGGCTCCAATTAATCTCTCAAGCAAACTGTTTTCTTTAATCCCCTGCAAAAAGGTGATTTCGAGATCAACCAAAGGACATGTAAGCCTAAGCAGTGGTCCTGGACAACAGGGGGTGGGCATACGTGGGGAGGGGTTTGGGATGGGAATAGGGGGATGAGGACAATTATGTGATACCATAACCAATAAAGAAATTTTTTTTTAAAAAAGTGACTTTGCTGCCATTCATTCTCCCAACCAGGAGGCAGAGATCTTCACCACAGCCGGAGCTCACGCAGAGCCGTTACAGCGAGGCTGCGAGGCTCAGAGCTGACGGTGACGGCGGCTCGGCGCCTGACCACGGCACTGGCTGCGCCTGCCCAGCACCTCACGGGTTCCCAGGCCGAATCCACCAGCAGCGGAAGAAAAGGGCGCCGCCTCGCCGGCTGTTACTGCCCCATCGTGTGCCCGGCTACCGTGGGACGCACGGGGAAAGACACCTCGGGGTCAATTTCAGATTAAAGAGTTAAATATAAAATAAAAGAGGATCAAAACGGTAAGAATAGGCATTCACTTCTAGCCAAGACAGACCAAATTTAGCCTCCCATCAAAAACCCACAAAATCATGACAGAATATATATTTTTTCTTTTCTTTTTCAACTAGAGGAAGTGGTACATTTTTTTATTGTTTAAAATATTACATATATCTCCCATATCCCCCAGCTTCCCCTACCCCGTCACATGCCCTCATCCCCCCCACCCAGTGTCTTGTGTCCATTGGTATGCTTCAATACATGCATACAAGTCCTTTGATTAATCTATTTCCCTATCTCCCCAACACTCCCCAGTCTTCCCGCTGTAATTTGACAGTCTGTTCGGCGCGACAGAATTTATTTTTAAATAAAAACAATTTTCAAGACACTAGACATCAGGCAACAGAAGGGTGATCCCCGAGAACTGGGTAACAAACCAGGTTGGCGCTAAGATTGCTGGCACCAGGGAACGGAGGCACTGACAGCAGAATTCTGCCTCATGGAAGACTTCAGTCTCAGAATCTCTTCCCCTACTTCCTGTCCCACTGCCCAGGCACCGAGGAGGGCACAGCCAGGCACACTGGGCATTCCACAGCGGCAGACAGAGCTGCAGGACGTACCTTCCAGGTTGGAGAAGCTCAGGGGTGCCCAGAGCTGGGTTGCCCCACCCCAAACATTTTGGGGGGTTTGAGGCTGAGAAACCAGCTCTCCAGTGACTTTTAGCGAGAGAAAGCCTGGCATCGAATGGAGACCACTGCTGAGATCGGCCTGGGACTCAGCCCCCAGGAGGGGTCTCTGGTCCCCCGGTTCATCCCCAAACAGACAATCCCCAGTCCAGTAAGCCTGGCGGCTGGCACAGGGCCGTGCCCAGGCGGCCTTGGCCTCCCCCGTACACCCCGGGAAGGAGGGGTTGTGACCTTTGCCACTTGAGGCGACTGTCCCTTCCTCACCGCCCTCTCCCTTGTGGGATAAGCAGCTGGCACAGAGATTCGGTCAGATGGCGGAGGGGGAGAAAGTTAGGGTTTCTGCTCTAGTTCAGGGAGTACTTGATATCAACACAAAAAAGCCTCCAGGACTCGGTTTGGATGTCCATAGAGAAGCAGCGAGGCCTATTCAAGCCGTTCCTGCCGGGGCTCCGATCCAAGAGGAAAAAACAAGCCCCTATTCAAGCGGGAACTGGTTCAGCGGCCCCTTTGTTACCCGGCAAAGGCGGCCCAGTTCTCGGTTCTCGCGTCTCAGGCTCAGGGCGACCTCGGTGATTCCACCCCCTGGCTCATTGGGCTTCTTGTAAGTCGCAGGTAACTCAGAGGTATCTTAGCGTTTGTGTGCTGGTCGTCCCCCGCGCCCAGCAGGGAGTGCTGGCTCAAAACAGACACCATCAGAGGCTGTAGGTAGGAGCATACATTAGTATGAGCATCTAGAGGGCAATGTAGCAACATCTATACCAAATGACTGATGTACCTGAACTATCTTACCCAGAGATTTCAGTTTTAGCAGCTCGCCCCACAGACAGTGCCCCTGGAGCAGGAAGATGGGCAGACAGGGATGTTCCCTACATTCGGCCTCCTGGTAGCGGCAGAGGACACAGGTAGCAGATGTCCTGCTAAATGGACTACGGCGCCCCCATGCGATGGGACACAGTAGGAACAGATTTAATACAAGTCTGTGGTGGCCAGACTGCCCTCCCGGCCCCAGGTCCTCAGCCTCCCTGTGGCCTCTCGCACGGACCCCGGGCGTGGCCACGTGACGTGCTCCGATCACAGGACAGTGGCCAGTCTGACGCGCACAGCGCCTGGCAAAGGCCTTAGCCGCTTCTGCTTCCCTCTTGCTTTCCTGCGGCCTCCATGAGGACATGCTCGGGCTGGCCTGGGCCTGGGCCTGGACCTGGGCCTGGACCTGGGCCTGGGCCTGGGAGGCGGGGGGCCAGGTGAGAAGCCCAGCCCAGGGCAGTGATGACGCTGAGCTGCCCCGCGGCTGCCCGAGGACGCACAGTGAGCCCTGGCAAGCCCAGGATCGTGCAAGCAATAACAGCTGGCTGTTCTAAGGCACTGGGTGTTGGGGTGGTTTGTTATATAGCAGTGGACAACAACCTCAGAGACAGAGACCCCAACTAGAGTGTACAGTAGTAAATCACTATTATGTGTAAAAAAACAAAACCAACAACAAACTTTCGTAAAATGCATCTATACAGCATATCCCTAAAAGGGCCCCGGAGAAGTCCAAAGAGTGGTCATTTCTGTGGAAGGAGGAGCAGGCAGGAGACAGTGCAGGAGGCAGTTACCCTGCACTCTAGACTATTTTTTAAATAAATATTTGTATTGCTTTCAGAGGGGAAAGGAGAGAGAGAGAGAGAAATAGATAGAAACATCCATGATGAGAGGGAATCATTCATCAGCTGCCTCCTGCACTCCCCACACCGGGGATCGAGCCCACGACCAGGGCATGTGCCCTTGACCAGAATTGAACCCGGGACCCTTTAGTCTGTAGGCCAATGCTCTCTCTATCCACTGAGCCAAACTGGGTAGGGCCACTATATACTTTTTAAATGTTTGATCGTTACTACCACAT